AGGAGTGGGCAGGGGCTGTGCTAGGCAGGGTCTCAGCCAGGGAGCAAGAGGGACTCTGTCCATGTCCTTGCAGGACACCACGAGCAAAGCAGGTCCTGGCAAACCTGGAGTCGTTCCGGGTGTCCCGGGAGCAGTGTATGAAGGCCCTGCAGATCAACAAGCTGAGGAAATGGTCCCAAGACAGTTCCTCTGGTGGGTATTCCCAGGCACGGGAGGTGTTTTCCCCCAGGAAGGATGTCCTGTCCTGCTGGATGGGTGAAAAGAGAGCAGGGGGTTCTGGGGCTGTGCCCCTGAGCTAGACCTGCCCTTCAGCCCCAGGGCTGTGGCCACAGGCACAGCCAGGCCAGGTGGGGACACAGACGGGTTCCTCTGGGGTTTGGTCTGGCCAGGTCTTGGCACCTTGGCAGGGCAAGGCTCTCTTGTACACCTCAGAACCCTCCAGGACCACACCTGGTGAGCAGAAGGTCCCTGCCCTCCTCTCTGCAGCTCCAACTGAACAGTTTATGATTCCCCCTTAGCTTGGTGAGGCAGAAGGAGCTCCATGACCCCAGAGAAGAGCAGGAGTGGGACGTGGGCTCAGGGCATCAGGAAAAAGGGAATAAAGGAATCCCTCACCTGGGTGTGTGAGTTGCTTCTGTGCACCAGGGAACAACAGGGTTTGGTGACCCAGGTGGGACTGCTGGACACGGATTGACATGGAAGGGACCCCAGTGAGTCTCTTGCTCCCACTTCCCTGCTCCACCCCAGAGTACGTGGAACAGGATTGTGTCCAAAGTGTTCTGGAATATCCCCAGAGAGGAGACTCCACACTCTCTCTGGACAATCCATTCAGTGCTCAGCCACTGCATAGCAAAGAATTTCTTCCTCAGCTGGAACTTCCTGGGCATCAGTTCCCACCCGTCCCTCCTGTCCCATTGCCAGGCCCCACCGAGCAAAGCCTGGTCCATCCTTTGACCAACCTCTTGGGTTAGGATTAGGTTTAACATTGTGATTAGGGGTCAGGGTGTTAGGGCTGGTGTTCAGGTTAGGGATTATTTTTGGTCGTTAGGGTCAGGTTTAGTGTTACAGTCAGGATTAGGATTATTTTAGGGTTAGGTTTAGTAGTTAGTGTTAGCATTAGGTTCAGAGATAGGTATTAGGTTTAGGTTTATGGTGGGTTAACCCAATTAGGGTTGGGTTTAGCATTAGGGCCAGAGTTAGGATTATATTTTTCATTAGGGTTAAGGGTCAGGTTTAGTTCTTAGGGTCAGAGTTAGGAACTAGGTTTAGGGTTAGAAATTAGATTTAGGGTTAATGGTGGGGTTAGTGTTAGGTTTGGGGTTAGGGTTAGGTTTGGGTTTGGAGTGAGGTTCAGGGTTATGGTTAGGGTTAAATTTGGGGTGAGCCTTCGAGTCAGGTGTATGTTTGGTGTGAGGTTCAGGTTTAGGATGTCTCTTGAGACACCTCTGTGCACATTATTTAGGTGATGAAAAGACCCATTTTATCAGGTGCTGGGTTGATGGACTTTGTGATCTCAGAGGTCTTTCCCAACATTGATTCCATGATTCCATATTTGCACCTTCTTAGTACCTGGAACCCGCAGGAGAGGGTAATGACTGGGTCAGGTTTTTTGTCTCTCCTTCAAAACCTTTTTGTCCCTCATAAATCCCAGGATCTGCTTGGGTGTGACTGAGCTGGTCTGCCAAGGAGCAGATAACTGAGAGTCCTCTGGGGGTTTATGATACGTCCATAAAAAGCTTGGATTAATGAATTACCAAGCCAATACTTGGTGAAGTCTTTATAAACTCTGAGTGCTGGGCAGAGAGAAGGTCTGAGAGACAGAAAAAAAGGCAGAGAAAGACCAAATCTAGAGAAAATAAATTATATCTAGGTTAGCAGAGGCTCAGCTTTGCAGGTACCATGAGAGGCCTCCTTCCCTCTGCCATCCTGGCAGTCATTGTGCTGGTGCACAGCTCCTGGGCAGTCTATGTGCAGGTGAGTCTTCTCTCTTTAATTTTTTGGTATTAAGGTGTTCAACAAGGTACTGATATTATTCAAACTTGTGGCTGCAACAGAAATCTTGAGCTCAAGTAAAGAGACCTGGACTTTTGGTATTCTCTGCCTTGGTATCCAACTGCCTCTCCCTGTGCTCCAGGTTTGCTTTCTGTAAAATTCTCTGGGTGTCTCTAAAATGCTGTTTATTTGCCTTTTACTGGTATATCCCTGCTCAGGAATCTCTCAGGGACTGAAGTGTTTTGTGTCTGGGGTTTTCCTTGGCACATAATCCCAAGGTGCAAGAACTGGGGATACCTCCAATTTTAATCCAAAGCCACAAAATTTCAGGGAATTGATGCAAACCTCTAACTTTGGAGAATGATGTAAACGAGGTGTGACACAAGAGAAATTGTCTTGTCTCACCTGGGTCTGGGCAGGAGGGTCTTTGAGAACAATCTGTGTGTTTATGGGATGGACCTACAAGTTTCACCTGTAAGAAAAGGTGAAAAAAGTGCTTTCCTCGATCCAGTGGAATGTCAAGAGGCAGAGAAGGAATTAGATGAGGCTCTATTAAATTTTCCAAAGTACACAGCACCTGATATTCCATGTACACTGACTGACATTCCATGTACACAGACTGACATTCCATGTGACATGGAAGCAGTTTGGAAGGTCCTGCAGTGCTCTGGTCTGTCCTTGGGAGAGCTTTGGATCATCCTGAGAAACGGTTTGGGAGATTTCAGTTTGCCTTGCCAACAACTCCCTCAGAGTTCCAAGAGAATTAATGTTCCTTAAACAATTATTGACTCTGTGTGTGCAGCAGCTTTCCAGGGATAAGGTGTCTCTGTGCCTTGGACTATCCTCTCTTTGTCCTTTGGATGACAGAGATATCCAAAGATTTCAGTTATTCCTTTCCTCCAAATCATTCTTCAACAAATTAGTCTTTTGGGGAGCAGATATCTTCCTACTTCATGGAAAAAACCCCTCAGTTTTCCACTTGGAGGCAATAAAAACACACCCTAAATGGGAAGAGCTGTTTCTAGATTAGGTAAAAGTGTAGGAAGTGGATTTTGAGCTAACCATTACATCTGTGCTCTGGGTGCTTTGCCCTCCTTTCACCTGCACCACTCGAGATCCCTCAGGTCTCACTTGTTCCTCACTGCACAGAGTTGGCTTCCACCCTTCTTCCCTGAAGTTCTTTCCCCAAACCTCCCTTCCCTCTCCTTTAATAGCCCAGAAACAGTTCATTTAAAGAAATGTTTTGCAAAGAGCTTCATTTGATGCCCCAGCTTGGTTTTGAAGTCTGAGTGTCACTGTCCTGGTGCTTCCCATCCCAAACCTGGAGGGAATAGGATGGAAATTGGAGGAATATGAGTTACCTCACCTTGGAGGGGTTCACCTGCTCAGATTTAGCTCTGTAATACATTGTTCTTATCTGAGCTGGTGTGTTTTTTTCTTCTATTTTTGTTGTTCCTTTGTTCTCTTTTGTACTCATGACCTGCAAGTCTGAGAGTTCGTTCCTAATTCCTGGGTTCTCTGAAATTTTCCCTGTTGAAATCCACCTTTTTTTAGTTCTCTGTTTTATGTTTCTGATGTCTGTGGGCAACAGCTGAATTTGGAACTCCTTTTATACAGGAAAATTTGATTTATCATAGGCAACCAGAGCTGGTTTAGGTTGGAGATGAGATCCTCATGTCCAACCATTAATCCAGCCAGGTGGCCAGAGCCATCACTAATCCATGTCCCCAAATGCCACATCCACTTGTTTTTTGATCACTTCCAGAGGTGGTGACTCCACCACTGCCCTGGAACCAGTGCCTGACCATCCTTTATAGAATCATAAAATCACTAAGGTTGAAAAAGCCCTCTAAGATCATCGAGTCCAACTGATGAATTGAACAGAGTAAAAAAATAAACTGACTGCAAGAGCAAAGAGTTTGACTTTGTTGAGAAATTTAATATCCAAAATTTACGCGGTTGGGTTTTTTTTTTAAATCTTTAACACCAAAATTCTCTGATTCTGTAAAAAAACCCACATCAAATCTATCAGAGCCAACTACTCCCCACTTACCATCACTTTTCACCACTTTTCACCACTCAGCTCATGAGATTATAAAACAAAAGACAAAATTTAGTCTTGTGCTCTACCAGAATCATTTTTTTTTCTGTGAATGAGTTGCTTCATCCCAGAATCCCAGAATGGTTTGGGTTCAAAGGGGCGTTAAAACTCACCTTGTTCCACTCCCTGCCATGGGCAGTGACACCTTCTACCTCCCC